GGGAACCATCTACCAGAGAAGCAGAGCCGCGGCTGGGCATGGCCAGGGGAGAGGGGAGAGTCCTACTCACACTGGGCCACTCTCATGGAGACGACAGGAGACGCGAGAAAGGGAGAAAGGAGAGGAGAGAGGAGAGAAGAGAGAGGAGAGAGGAGAGAGGAGAGGAGAGAGGAGAGGGGCAAACTAGGCGCGCTCGCGTCATATCTGACGCCCTACCCCTCCTTCACATTCCTTACCATGGTGTAGATCTCCTCTCTATTCGCACAGTCGGGTGTCGTAGCACGGCACAGCAGTACATGGCATGGCATGGTGTCAAAGATCAACGCGTAGCATGACATAGCATGGAGTGGCGACGCCCCAAAGTGGGGGGGCTTCTGCGGCCAATAAAATCAACGAATCAACACCGAATGTGTATGTAATCACTGCCGATGGCTTCTTAGGGAGGCCATTTTCCAGATTTGGGGGCCAATTTGAAGGACCGGAAACCATGCCGGGGATCGACACTCGAAATAATGACGCCAGCGCTGCAGCGGGAACGCGATTCGGAACGAGCGGAAGCGCGGGAATGAGGCCAGCGCTGCAGCGGGAGCACGATTCGGAACGAGCGGTAGCCCGAAAATGAGGCCAGCGCTTCAGCGAGAGCAGCACTTTGAAACAAAATCAGCGAGGAAACGCGGAAATGAGGACGCGTAGCCTGACATAGCATGGCGTGGCGACGCCCCAAAGTTGGGGGGGCTTCTGCGGCCCCCACTGAGCAACGAATCGACACCAACTGTGGAATCACTTCCGATGGTTTTTTCTGGGGGACATTTCCTAGATGTTGGGACCGATTTGGAAGGACCGAAAACCATGCCGTGGCATGGCGCTGGAAATAATGACGCCAGCGCTGCAGCGGGAACGCGATTCGGAACGAGCGGAAGCGCGGGAATGAGGCCAGCGCTGCAGCGGGAGCACGATCCGGAACGAGCGGTAGCCCGAAAATGAGGCCAGCGCTTCAGCGAGAGCAACGTTTTGACAAAAAACAAAACAACAACAACAAAAAACGAGAACCCAACTCCCGGGAATCCTGTGTGCAAAAAACCTGTACGCGGAGGGGGGCTGGACATTCCCCGGACGCCACCAGGGGGGAGAGAGGAGAGTAGTATTCTGATTGTGTAGGTGTAGAGAGGAAGGGAGGGGAGAGGAGACGAGACGAGAGAGGAGAGAGGCTAGGAGGAGAGCAGGAGAGGAGGGGAGGGGCGAGGATGAGAGAGGAGGCGGGCGCACGCGCAGGCGGAGTTGGCATGCGGAGGCAAACGTGCAGCTGGAGGCGGAGGCGGAGGCAGACCACCCCAACCCAACCCGAAGACCCGAATGTGACCCGAATTTCGGGTTGGGGGGGGGTACGGGTTCCATGTGTTTTTGTCTATGTTCCCCGACCACACACACCCACTGGAAATGGAAGGCAAATTGAGACCTTCGGGTTGGGTTGGGGTGGTTTGGTAGGTGGTGAGCAGGGGGGGGGACGCCGACAGCCATCGCACCCGTCCCGGCTGGGCCCAGGATCGGGAAATCGGGCAGAATCGAAGGCGCATCGGCTCGTGCTGCATCGGCACGGCGTCAACAGTGGGCGAATCGGCTGCGCCAGGGGTGCACAAGAGAGCCGTGCAATCATCGGGCCACATCGGGACATCGGAATCGAAGCGGATAGAGCCGGACGATGGTACTCCAGCTTTCGTAGCACAAGAAGGGGAAGTCACAATTCTCCAAGACGAGCCATTTCAGAACCCCCCATCGTCGGGGATCTTCAGCATGAAAAGACAGCCCCTCCCCAGCCGCGCCAAGGCGAAGCGATTGGGACACCCCCCAACGGCCGACTCGATCGAATCGAAACTGGCCCCCGCCGTGGCCGATCGACTCGAGTATCGACTCCGATCGATCGGACCCGAAATTAGCGGGGACAGCGAATCCAGTCGATCGATCGACCGAATCGAACCGATCGATCGGATCGGAGATTTTTTCGAATCGCAGCTGGCCCTGGCCCAGGCAAGATCGGCGAGGCGGCCGGGCGGACGCCTCCCGAGAAGAGCTCGCCCCGTCCTCGGGGGTGACCCCTCGCGAACGGGGGCGGCCGACAAGTCGGCCGCGCGCCCCTGCTCCGGCCCACATGTGGCGTCACATGGCGGCCCAGGTCGAGCAGGCTCGAGCCGGAGCGGCACGGGCACGCATCGCAGCGGCGCGGTCGTCGGCGTCGTCGTCGTCATATCATCATCAGCATTATCAGCATCATCATCAGCATCACCATCATCATCATCATCAGCATCGTCATCAGTATCGTCATCATCAGCATCATCATCAGTATCTTCATCATCGCCGTTGTCGTCGTCGCCGTCGTCGTCAAAGGTCGTCATGGTCGTCGACATCGTCGCCAACGTCGTCGTCGTCGTCGTCGTCAACGTCGTCATCGTCGTCATGGTCGTCGTGGCCTGCCTCCTACGCCTCATCATGCCCATCCGTCCTCCCTCCTCCCGCACGCGCGGCAACGCGGGGGGCAAAATGCAGGAGAATCATCCAGGACCGAAACCCTCCTGCGTGCTTTCGAACAATGGCCTCTCAGGGTCTCAGGAAGCCTCCACCTGCGGGGCTCGGGTATGCGCATGGACAACAACCACATGGTTTGTACGCGATTGGGCACGACATGGTCACCATACACCTCGAAACGGCATGGGCATGGACACCCACCTGAACGGTCATGCTGCTCTTCTCGACACTGGCAGCCCAACGCCTCAGCAAGCGGAACGGATCCAACAGCGAGGCGAACGCGCCTGTAAAGCCCGTCGTGCGTGAGCGAGCCAATCGCCGCCCTTCCATACGGCGCCAAACAGTATCACGGGGGCCGACACACGCTGCGTGCCACTGGTGGAGCAGAACGGGCTACGACGTACACAAACACATACACACGCACACAAACACACACACACACACACACACACACACGCACACACACACACATACACGCACACACGCACACGCGCCCGCACACGCACACGCACACGCACGCACGCACAACACACACACATACACACATATATATATATATATATATATGAGAGAGCGTGATCCACCGCCGCTTTACTGTGGAAAATTGCCAACCTTTTCCTCCGGAACCCGGGGGTCGCCCCCCCCCCCCTCCGAAAATCCCCCCCCCCTGCTGGAACCCCTCCCCCCCCCCCACCCCTTCCCCCGGCAAAACCCCCCCCCTCCCCTAACCCCCCCCCCCTCCTCGAGCTCGAAAACCGGGGGGGTCCAGGTCACGTTCGAGACCCTCCCCCCCCCCCCCCCCCCCCCCCCTCCCGATCCGGAAAAAACAGGGGGGGGGGGTCACTACCGTTTCAACCCCCCCCCCCCCCCCCCCCCCCCCCCCCCCCCCCCCCCCTACACACCGCCAGCAAACGACTCCCGGTCCCCACCACCGTCCGCATCACAACCCCCACTGGTGTTCCCAGCACCACTGTCCTCACCACCGCTGTCCCCACTGGTTCCACCACCGCCCCTACTGTCCCCACCAGTGGCCCCACCACTGTCGCACTGTCCCCGCTGTCCCCAGAACTGTTCCCACCACGATTCCACTCTCCCCACTGTCTCCACGGCCCCAACCACTGCCCGACAATCCCCACTGTACCCACTGTCCCACTGACTCCTCCGCTGTCCCACTGAGCTGTCCCACTGTTCCCACCACTGTCCCCACTGTCCCCACCACTGTCCCCAGTGTACCTCTGTCCCATTGTCCCACCGCCGTCCTCGCCACCGCCTTCACCACTGTCCCCACCACCATTGTACCCTCCACTGTCCCACTGTTTCCACCTCATTCCCATTGTCCCCACACCACTGTCCCCACCACCACCGTCACCACCACTGTCCACTGTCCCCCCCTGTTCCCACCATTGTCCCCACCACTGTCCCCACCACTACCGTCTCCACCACTGTCCCACTGTCCCACTGTCCCCACCACTGTCCCGCTATCCCCTCACCACTGTCCCCACCAACACAGTCCCCACCACTGTCCACTGTCCCCACCACTGTCCCCACCACTGTCCCGCTGGTCCCCCCTCACCACTGTCCCCACCCACACGTCCCCACCACTGTCCGCAAAAACTCCCCAACACCCTCGGTTTTCGAAGGGGGGGGGGGGGGGGGGTTCAACCGTAGTGACCCCCCCCCTTTTCATGATGAGCAGGGGGGGGGGATGGGGGGTAGGGTTTTCGAACCGGTAGTGAACCCCCCCCCTCGTTTTCCCGGAGGGGGGGTGGGGGGGGAGGGGGGGGTTCGGAACCGGTAGGACCCCCCCCGGTTTTATCCGCACAGCACGGTAGAACAACGCTCTTTCATATATATATATATATATATACATATATATATATATATATATACATATACATATATACTAGAACCATCGCGCGCGCTTCGCGCGCGCTCAGGTTCTAGCCCAGGCCGGGAGCGCGCTAGAAGATCTTGGACAGCGCTATCAAGCACAGGCGCGTGACATAGTCGTGCCTCCTGAGGGCCTCTTGGGAACCTCGTGGGTCTTCGTGGGGGCACCTGAAGGGCTTCTGGGGGGTTCTCCGTGCTTCCTCAATTGGCTGTTGGAGGCACCTATTGGGTGTTTCTCGGGGGGGCATCTTGGGGCTTCTTGGGGTCCCTTCGGGGCATCGTCAGGGTTCTCCGGGCAGTCGGAAAGTGATGTTCTGCAGTCTGAAGCAGTCAATTGGCCGTCCTGGCTGCGTGGAGGCCAAGCTTGAGGCCACATTGGGGCAATCCGGAAGCCTCCCGGGCCTCCTAGAAGCAATTTTGATGCATCGAGAGCACTGTTCGGCTATCTTGGGGCCCCGCGTACGTCTCCTGTGAGCCTTTTGGGGCCTGGTGGGGGGCTTTGCCTCTCAGGGCGGAAAGCTCTGCTGTTGGGTTCGCGTTCCCCTTCTTGGGGCTCTCTTGGGGCCCTCTTGGGGCCCTCTCGGGCCGTCTTGGGCGCCTCGGGCACCGTCTTGGGGCCCTCGTGGGCCGTCTTGGGGCCCTCTTGGAGGCCTCTTCGGCTATCTTGGAGCGGACGTGGGGGCCACTTGGGCCGTCTTGGAGCGTCGGGATGCCAAAAGGCTGGGAACTCTAAAATCCATCAAAAGCCGATGGGAAAACAATGTTCTTGGAACCTCTTCGGTCTTCTGGGGAGTTTCTTGAGGGCCTCTTGGGTCCCATTGGGGGGCCTCTGGGGCTTCCTGAGAGCCTCTCGGTTCGTCTTACCCCTCTTGGGCCCCCCTTGGGGCCGTATTGGTGCCCTCTCGGGCTGTCTTGGGCCCTGTTGGAGGCCTCTTGGGCTGTCTTGGATTGGTTTTGGAGGCCTTTTGTGCCGTCTTGGAGCGTCAGGACGCCAAAAGGCTGAAAACTCGAACATCAATCAAAAACCTATGGCAAGAAATATATGTTTGCCTCTTGGGGCCTTCGTGGGAGGCCTCTTGGATACTCTTCGGCCCCCTGGGGGGCTTCTTGGGGCCTCTTGGAGCCTGTTAGGGGCTTCTCGGGGCCTCCTGAGAGCCTCTCGGGGTGGAAGGCTCGGACTTTCGGTTCGTGTCAACCCTCTTGGCTCCATCTTGGGGCCGTCTTGGGGCCCTCTCGGGCCGCCTTGGGCGCATCTGGCGCCGTCTTGGGACCCCCGTGGGCTGTCTTGTGACCGTCTTCGAGGCCTCTGGGGATGCCTTGGAGCGGAAATTAAAGCCTCTTGGGCTGTCGTGGAGCGTCAGGAAACTCCGAAGGCGAGAACTCGAAAATCGATCAAAAACCAAGGGAACACATATTAGTTGTGCCTCCTGGGGCTCCTTGGGAGCCATCTTGGAGACCTCTTGGGGCGTCTTGGAGGCCTCTTGGACAGCCAGGGACCAATTCTGGGGTGATCTCGGGCGGTCATTGGTCGTTGTCGTTGTCTGGAAACGCCAGGGCCATCTTCGGGCGACTTACAAGGCCCCCAGCGCCAAGGGTGCTCTCTTGCAGCGGGAGCTTGTTGAGTACAGGGTGTTGCCTTGAAGACGGGGGCTGTTGACTACAGGGTGTTGTCTTGGAGACTGAATCTGTTGAGTACAGAATGGCGCGTGCTCCGCGGACGGCGGGCGGGCAGCGGGTGCCCTAGGTGGTGGTTCAGAGGCCTCATGGGTGTTGGTTTGGATCTCGTGGTTGGCCTGTCGGGGACGTCGTGAAGGCAGTTTCGCAGCTTCTCGGTAGCCATTTTGAGACTGTTGTGGAACCTCCTCGGGGCTGTTTTGTGGCCTCTTGAGGCCTTGTTTGGGTCTCCTGGGTGCCTCTCGGGGGCCTCCTGGGGCCTCAGGTGGGCTCCTTGGGGCCTCCTGGAGCACTCTTCACGCGTGAGGGTCGAATTTTGGAGTCGTGACCCCCCTCTTGGGCGCATCTTGGGGCCATCTTGGGGCTCTCTTGGGGGCCTCTGGGGCCGTCTGGGGGCCCTCTTGTGCCGTTTTTTTTTGTTTCTAGCGCACGCGTTTATACGCTCGGTGATATCGTGTGTCGTTGGGCATGCACATGCGACCCACAACATAATAATACTGTTTACTGCACACGGTTAATCCTACTGGATGTTCCTGTTCTGAAAATAGCCCAACCCAAGTGCGTTCTGCATAGTGGCCCTCCTCGATGTTGTCACCGCGCTCAAGGCTGGCCACCAGCCGCGGCCAAAGAGAAGAATTCATGCCCCAAATCCTGTCCATGCGTACTGCAAAGTTGCCACCATAATACACCTGCACCACCGTGGCATTGCCATCGGAAAGGCCATTACGATTCCAAGGAGTTATGCCCAAATCATCCCACCATTTGCTCAAGGGTCTTTGCCCTGCGTCGGCCTTAAAATTGTCCAAACTCCCGACATAACTGTCCAGTTTAAACTGGCCCAGCTCAGCAATCGAGTGGAAATCCGTATATGGCGACTCCATCTTGAGAAAAACAACCAAATCCGTGGTGTCGCACGTCGGCTAAGACTGCCGGGAAATCACGCAGAATAGTATCAGGTTGATGCACGCGCATGTTGTCTTTCAGAAAAAAAACTGGAGCATTATGCGACACATTCGCCTTCAAGTCCCCGTCCATTTGGCTTAGGGCCCAAGCAAAGGAATGATCATTACGGCCAACATTCGGGAGATCGATCGCTTGGACATT